TTAAAAACATATAAATAAAAACTAATTAATTTCAAGATTGAAATATTTTTATATAAGTATAAACATTTTACAAACTTATAGAAGATGACACTGTGAATACTAAATAAAAACGATTGTAGTTTAAGTTAATCAAGTGAATGCATTTTATATCTTTACATGGCATTTCAAATAAATAATAATATTATAAAATTTGGTGGAGATTTTAACAATATACAATATACAGTATAATTTTTTTTTTTTAAATAGAAAAGTTAAAAATAAAGTTTAAGTTGTGTACATTAGTACACGATAAATAAAATAATTAAACTTATGAGTACACGGCATGCAATTTAAACATACCCCTTTAAGAGGTGGCATGCAATTCGGAAATTTTTTTGGCATGCAATTTAAATACAGCTAATATTTCAACGATTTTTAAAGTCAAAAAATAGTAATAATTAATAATGATGATTCAGAAAAAATAAACTTATATTATTTTAAATATAAGTATTGTAAGCTATATTTTACAACATAATATTAATAACATTGTAGACAATTTGATTTAATTTTAATAAATGTCTTATAAATTAAACAATTACTTACATAAAAAATTATTTAAATAAATATTATTCATAGAAATAGTTTGAAAATGTATTATCTTATAGAAGTCTTGGGTAATAAAATTGACAATTATTTTCTGCTAGTATTAAAATCTAAAAATTTAATAAAAGCTTTATTATATGTTTATTTAATATTTATTATGCGTAAGTATACATGGTCCAAACTATTTCCGAATTTTTCGAAAATGTTGTTTAGATTAAGTACTTATGCGAAACTCACTCTTTTTCAAATTCACTCATCTTGTTTTTAATAATGAAAATAATAAAACATAGTTTTATTTGGTTTGCTACTTAGCTATAATTTGTCATAAATGTAGGTATACATTAAAAAAAGAAAAATACATAGATATGTATATTTGACATTTAATGTCTAAACAAATTAGAATAAAAAATTTTACATACAGGAACAAATTTTCGGTTTCTCTACCCTGGATCCAATCTTGTTGACGAATGACAATAACCTAATAGTTTTTAAAATTAGTACCACTGTAGCATTATGCGCATCAAGAATTTGCAGACATAGGTACGAGCATTTTTTGTGATACGTCGGCATAGGTACCTATATTTTTTAAAATGACACGATTTTTGATGACGTATAAATTAATACCTAATTATAAAAAAGAGTACTTAACATTAATAATAGTTATCATCAAGCGAGTATATTTTATAATTTTGTATAAGTTAAAGTTTACAAGTATAAACATAAACAAACTAAATAAATACGTAATAATATTTAACCATCCATAACCAGTGTTTTGCTTAATTTCAACTAACACTGAAATAACACGTCATTTTTTTGTTATCTGAATGGCTTGTATTTCAAGTTGTCGTTAAAAAAAAAAAACCAGCAGTTAACTTTTTGTGAAAGACCAATATGATTAATATCAAACTTCACAACAGCGAATAATTGTAGGAAAGTAATTTTAATTCATTGGCAGACGACAGTTAACAATTTAAAAAAAAAGTTGAAAATGCTCAATAGAATAAAAGTTATTGCAATTGTTTGTTTTATTTTTATTTTGTCAGTTCATTGTGAAACACTCTGTATATTATAATACTTTTTCCATAGGTAGATATAAAATAAAAAACTAAACATTTTTTTTTATCGTTTAAAAATGTTAAAATAAATCATTATTTTAATTGATTTTTGATCTTTATGGTATTATTACATAATTCAAATCAAATGCTTTGATAACAATCCTGGAGAGGTGGCAGTGGTGCTAAGCATTTTTCGTAACATTTTAGCTTTTAACGTTCGCCATACCGCTTCAATTATTTATGTAGTTGTGTAGTGTATGTCTTTAGATTAACAAAATTTTCGGAATTATGTAAAGTTTGATAATTATAATCCAGGGATTAGAGATTTTCTTACAATTTTCGCTCGTTTTATATTATATTATATATTTTATATTATTATACTGATTAAAATTTTATTTTGAACTATTGGTAGATATGTGTAGCACGATCAAATCTTTCAACTATAAAACATCTTTTCTCAAGAATGTAATTTTTTTCTCAGATTAATACTAAAAATCCACGGCTCTTTGGCACGTCTTGCTCAGTTTACTCTAGATATTGGTGTATTTTATTTATATGAATTAGATTTAGATATCTATGAGCGCATTGATCCCCGAGTAGAAACTAATTGTTTTATTAGCGTTTTCCTCTAAATAATGCGTTTCATCTATTTAAACACTCTCATCGGGTTTACCCATAAATGACTAAATATCAATAATTGTACAGTGAACATCTCTACGTAAATTAAACCAATCTACAACAGCACTAGACAGTAGACGATCGACCAATCAATGAAGCTTCAAACTAGGTATTGTTGTTATTGATAAGTCTTCCCATGAATAAAATAACGATTTCAAGAATTTTACCCATGTTAAATTTAAATTGTATCGATTATTTAAATTAATGCAAATGAAAAAAATATTTGATTTTCATTTCAGATGGACTGACATTCTCGAATAGTTTACCTCACGAATGTTACTTCACGTGTTTTACCAAATGTTATCTCTTTTTTCTAATATAAATTTTAGTCTTACCTTGACACTTCAAATAATTTAATGGCTCATTGTTCAATAACATAAGACCATGTAATTGCAAAAATTCAATGTTTATACTCTCGTTGTAAATAATTGAATACAATTCAGTTACCGACATATTCAATTAAATCGCATAACTAGACAAACACTACGACATGTGAAAAACACAGCTAAACTGATCGTGTAAAATATCAATTACCTATTTATATTCCTACTCGGTATTCCTACACACTACACAGTGGCGTGTCTAGCGAACAGGCCTTGTAGGTTAGGCCTTACCTGGATTTTTAACCCTTATTCCTTATAATAATACCCAAAATGTATAAATTGTATAAATTTTATTTTTTTAATCGGGTCTGTCCTGAATTTTGATTCTAAAGTTTCGACATACCTTTGTTCCTACATAAAACAATTTATATTTTTTAAAGAGCTCTTATATGTGAATTATACGACATTATATTCACAGTAAAATACTTACCTATTAACGGAAAGTAAACGCTATAAGTAGGGCTGTCAAAATCTCAACGTAAGAGAAAACCTAGACGTCCATTTGGATTCAACTCTAAACAGAACAAGGTAATCCTGAGCTACCTACTTAAAATCTACAAAGTTAATAAATAAAACTTAATCTGTTATTTAATTTCTAAATATTATAATTACTTGAGTATTAAACTATAAATTAAGTATTAATAATAGTAATTTCTTTCAACTAATGGCCTTTGCTGTCAAATTCTTATTAAGACAGATAATAAAAAATTTATATTTTTGACATTCAAAATACCCAATAGATAAGCCATAAGATATAAAGGAAAAACATTTTATCATATTTTAATCAAAATAATGTAAGACTCAATATTGTAGGTCACACACTATAACTAAAAAGTTGTTACAAATATATTGATAACAAACAATAGAATTTAAAAAAATAACATTACACTAATATATTTTTAATCAATATATATGAAAACAAAGATTAATTAAATTTTTATTATTATCACATAAAATCTTACAAATTAAATGAAATAGTTAATGACCAATGATCATATTATATAAAATATGATTAAAAAAATAAATCAACAAACAATAATTTAATTTCATGAACTCTTTAGATAACTAACATAATTGATAATTATATAGAGTGGTAATTTATATAGATTTTACAAGGCAATTTTAGCTCAATGTTCCAAAAAAGTTCTTTAAAACTCTGTGTTGTTATTGTAGTTTGATCATTATCCATTAACATTACAATGTTCCAGAATTAAACTAAAGTACCTAAAATTAATTTTAATATGATATTTTTTGGCTAATAAACATTAACTGATAGTAAATCAATAATAAAATTATAAATTACACGAGGATATAATATTACAAAATTAACATGAAAATAGTAAGATAAAGTTATAACAAATAAAAACCAACTGCATAGTCTGTAATATATCTTGAAATTCATTAAGATTCTAAATAGATGACTCACATCCTATCATCTCTATAAAATTCAAATTATTACAGAAAAAAAAATATTAGTTACTAAATTACTCATCTTCCTTTTGATCTCTTAAGGGATCCAGTTTTTAGAAGTATAAAGAATATGAAATGTATACAATATTTCCAGTCTATATCATTCAAACAATAACTAATGCTCTTAAGTATATTACTAATCAAATTCACAATAATGACCATCCCTGATCAAACTTCTAAATTCAACAAATGATAACATAAAAATTACATAATCACTCAAATCCTCCATATCAAATTTATCCTTTTTAAATCTAGTTAGTACAACTATTTGGACTGAAAGTCCGAGAACTTTCAACATAATTATTTATACTTTATTGTTTATACACATATATAAAAAAAAAAAACAATTTCATAACTCAGGTTTAAATAACTTAATATTATGTTATTATTACTTTAAGTATTTTTTTTTTACTGATCAAATTTACTTATTATATTACTTAATATTATATATTATAAATAAAAATAAAATAAAAGATACAGTGGCCTTTGTAACCAACATAACTTAAGAACAATAATAAAAATAAAAAATATAAGATACAGTAAAGTAATTGATAGATAAAGTTGGAATTTGTTGTCCCATATTTCATAAAATTTTAAATTCAATCTGGCAGCCAAGTATTTATAAAATAAAAAAAAACTTCTGACTAGATTTAAAATTTCTTAGAATTTAACAATATAATATTTTCTCTTATTTTCCAATTCATTAATATTTAAACATATCTAATAAACAATATCAATATATTAAATAAAACAGTACAATTGTTTTAACATTTCATATTTTTGGTGATTTATTAATTATTAATTTTGGATAACTTTTAATTAAAAAAAAATATTATGACATTATACCAACATATTTTTTTTAAATATGTTTTTAAGAATTAGCACATTTAAATTTTATAGGTAACAAAACTTTTACTACAGAGCCAGATATTTTAGTACCATAGTGACCAGCCCAATATTGTGTGTCTACTCCAGAATGATACAGAATTAAGTAAGATGCATTACTCTGATTTTTAAATGAATGTGAAGCCTAAAAAATAATATTTAATAATAATTTTACTAAAATATTTTGAAATAAAAATATTTGAAAAAATTACAAACTTTTGTCCAAATATTAGCCTCCCACTGAGGTAAAACATCACTATAATTGTGTTGTTCTATTAGTTTATCATTTCCATCATGCACTGTTGCCCTTAATGCATATTTGCAGCCACAATCAAAACGACCAGTATACCTGCAAATAATTTTATATTATTATTTAATGTAAATAAAAAACCTTGAATGAATATATTACCATTCACTAACTAAAATTTCAGGTTGAAGAGTTTTCATCATAATATCATTTAAACCATAATTTTTGAATATGATTTTTTGCCTCTTTGAACATAATCGATATGTTGATACAAAACAACTTGTATGGCCATCAAAATCAGGATCATCAGGTAATAAAGGAGCACCTTGTGGATTTTCTTCAATAGTCCACCAATTATGATCGTTAGTTATACTCCAATGCATAAATGCATCTGTATTTAATACAAAAATTGTTACAAGTATTTGAACTTTAAATTACTTTCAGCTCTGATCAAAACTGGAAACTATAAATACTAAATATTACATTAAATGTATTAACTTACTTTGTCCACAATGGTTTTTCACTAAATTTCTATTAAATGGATCATACTTGCAAATGACATGAAACACGTACCATGGCAATTCTAATTTTCTGATATTATTTGAATCAATTTTGGAGAAACTATAGTATCCTTTACCATTATTCACAAACTTATTTTCTCGTGAAGCTTTTTCTTGAAATACATACGCATCTATAAGTTCTTGCCATCTTTTGCACACAAGTCTGCAATCCAAAAGGGTATCTGCATCGATAAAACTTAAAGTGTACACAACCATTTCATCCGGTAATAAATCAAAAGAATCATGATAACTTTTTAATACTTCCATCATTGAAAACGAAATAATTAATTAAACGTTGAACATGTTGACATCAAAATAAATAAATAAAATACTATTTTAAATTAATTTCCAAATAAATATTAAGTAATTTATAATTATTTAACATTAAACAAATAAATTCTAATAAAAATCTTAATTTAAAAATATGCAAGTTACATTTATGTATTTTACCTAATTAATAATATCATACATAGGCATTTGTTTTATGTAATAGGTAAATACTTTAAATTCCAATAATAATGAATAATAACAAGATTAAAAATATTATTTAGATTTAAAAATGCTTATCTTTTTTATGATAAGGAAATTATTAAGAGGGTAGCATACTAGCATTATCATCATCATCATAAGTTATAAAATGAATAATATTTATAAATGAAATAATTTTATTTATTCTGTGATAACACAGTGACAGTGTTCAGACTTCAGACGGTAATACGGTATGACCATTTACAAACCAACCTAAATATCAGAGTATATTAATTTTTTATCGAGGGAAGTAAATTCAACAAATTGGTAAAGGTATTTGGATCTATCTCCCTTAACTGATATTAATTTGAACTTTGAAAAAGTATTAGACAAATTTACCGTGAAATCAAATCTTTTACGGTTTAATATTTATTTAACATGGGCAATTTCATTGATTATAAAATAGTCTATTTTATAATCAATAGTAATATCTTGTTATAATATTTTTAATAAGTGTTATTTATATTTATATATAATATGCGTAATATCTTATTGTGTAATTTCTTATTTTAATAACTTTGTGTGATAAGAAAATAATAAATATTAATACACTTTTTAAAGCACTAATAACTCGGCCAAATTGATTTTTTATATTGTAAAATATCAAACTTGTACAATGGTGGGTGGGTGGTATATTTTAGGCTTGTCCCAATCAAATAAAATTATCAAAGCACCACTGATTCGCAGAAACTTAAAACTTTTACATATATTATACATTTTACTATTCGCAATGAGATTTTTAAAATACGTTAATTTATTTTAGAGATAATCTATTTATAATATGAATGTATTTTCTCGATTTCACAGTATTTAAAGTGAGATGTTATCAACTCAAGAATTAATGATAATATAATATGATATTGGTATAAATATAAATATATATATATATTATGCTAATTATTTATATTATATATCTAATAAATAACGAAAAATATTACTAAATTTATTATAAAAACCCTGTTTAAATTCAAGTTTAACACGTTCATTACAGTGATCTCTCTCTCGGCACAGAATAGTCGTGGATCATGGTACTATACTCGAAACTTATTGTACAGTGATAGATCTTCAAGTTTTTGTTGGATATAAACTATTTCAATTCAAATAATAATATATACAACATGAATAATAAAATAAATGATTACATGAAAAAGAACATTTTTTTATATATATATGCCCAACAAACATTTTATTTATATTTTAATACGTAGGTATAACCATATAACAAAAGTATATTTATGTCATAAGGTATAAATTACCCAAATACAATTACAAAAATACTTAAAAATTATGATAGGATAGCAGAGGCGTAGTTATGATTTTTTTCTGGGGGAGATATATAAATATATAATAATATATATGATACTACACATAAATGGGGGGGGGGGGTGCTCATAACTATGCCCTTATAGCACTAAATTGCATATCATATTTGTTATAATAACTTAATTGGGTAATTTTACAATCTTAATAATCTTATATCGAGTGTAAGTCAATGCATCAAAATAAAAAAAAAAAAAGGTTCTGGGGATCTATCCCTATACCCCTCCCACCATAACTACGCCAACGCAGAATAGATGGATAAAATATGGGGGAAAGAGAACTGATGGCGTTCATGAGAATAGAACTATTATTGACACCGGTTATCTATATTCACTCTCTGAAACCGGTCCAAGGCGATCGAGCGCATGTCGAACATAGGGTAGCAGATCCGCGATGACTAGTGGTGTCGACGGACTACATGACGGTACAAGAGTGACCAGTGCTATATCATACACAAGGATGGCAGCGGTGAAAGCGGGCGAGTTTTGAAGCACTCATGGATGATTTGTCTTTTAACCCTATACAGGTACCTCTGAAAGCATTCGTAATTCAATAAAGTTAAGGGGAACCAGAGGATTCCATGCGACCGGATTGGCCATTTACGGACATCCTACATTAACTGTTTCCTCAAGCTTTCTACTCTGAGAAGGGGAGTCCATATCATAAAAAAAGGAACTCGAGACAAAAAGTCTGTTAACCGTTCATAAACTACTGTTTGATTAGTGTTAGTGTTAAATAAACAGTAAAAATTATTTTGTGCATAATCTGAATACAAGTATAAAATTAAAAATTAGAACAGTTCAAAATAATTTTATTTAAAAATTTCAAGGATATTAATGATTACATACTAATTTGTTGAGTATGTAAACATCTGTTAACCTTGTTTATTGAGCATTAACTATAAATATAAATATGATACATGGTTATCACTTGCTATTATATTTTACAAATTATACAGATGTAAATTCAAAACCATAACATAATTGTCTGGAAATAATGAAAATATAAATTAAATAATTCTTAAAAAAATGTTAGCTTATAAAATAGAGTAAAATTAATAGTTATTATAATATAAAACAGCAATACAAATTCTTTTATACTTACTTAATCAAAAAAATGTAAACAATGATTAATAATTATAAATAAAATGTTAACTAATCCAAACAACATTTTAAAAATAAAAACCTGCCACATAATTTATTGTATTCTATACAAATAAAGAAATCGTACTTAGACAGTTTAGTAAACTAATAATTTTCATATCGAAAATTGGACAATTAATACAAATTTTTATCAATATTAATATATTTATCAATAAAAATAAAAATTTAATTATAACTATGAAAATAGTAATTTACTAACTAAGCAAATTAAAAATAATAACTAATATTACTTTAACACTGTTTTAATATTAAGTCAGTTTATAACTATGGAATATATTATTAAATATAAACCAATAATAACAATTATTATATACAGAATTAGATGTTTTATTTATTCATAAATAAATCATCTATAAACTTATACAAGAAAAACTATAAAATGTAAAAGAAAATTATAGTTATGAGTGGCCGCTTAAGCTGCCATTCACTTGCGCTAGAAAACACGTTCGTGAAAACCTGAAGTAGTAGATGTAGACGTCCCTTGACTTGGAACGGTTGATGCTGGTCGCATGGCAGATGACTGATGATTATTAAGTCTACGTGGAGCCAAATATTCAAAATTACTCTGTGTTTGTTGAGACAACATTTTAGATAGATCACATGGCATAGGATCTGTCCAGAAGAAGTCGTGGTTCAAAGCTGAATCAGCATCAAATCTTTTGGCTGGATCTAATACTAAGAGTTTATCTAATAGATCACAACCCATTGGATCACGTACATAGGGCTTTAGTCGTTCCTTCACCTGTGAATCAAATAATTTGTTATAAACTAAGAAAAAAATAACATTTGAATAATAACCTTTCGTTTTTGTCCTTTGACCAATTCCAATTGATTGTACAAATCTAAAGATTCAACTTTAGGCCAGACTTCTGGTGTTATTGAGCCACATAGTTGGGATATTAAAGTTAACTGTTGTTGTTCAGAATTACCCTGCATGATTGGACTACGAGTCCACATTTCAGCCATAATGCAACCAGCTCCCCACAAGTCTACAGGAGGACCGTAATTACGATCCCCAAGCAACAACTCGGGAGGGCGATACCATAAAGTTACGACTCGATTAGTGTATCTAAAATATTGTTATTAATATAACTATGTAGCAGTGTTTTGATATGATTAAATTTTACCTATTAGGTTGACCATTTTTCTGTGCACTAAATGCTCTAGCTAGTCCAAAATCAGCCAATTTTAATGTCCCAGTTTTTGTAATTAATACATTTGCTGCTTTCATATCACGGTGCAATATCTGATGCATATAAGATTGATTTAGATTGTTACAAATTTACACAATTCTAGAAATAAGATTATGATAAGTATAAAATATACCTTATTGCTGTGTATGTAGTAAAGACCATTGAGCATTTGTTGAATTACTTGCTTAATCTCTCCAAGACTGAACTTCACCTTAGTATTTGATAACAGACCAGCTAAATCGTGTTCACAGAATTCAAACACCAAATAAAATGTTGAACGATAACGGTTGAACTGAGTAGCTATAAAACATTTTTATATGATTTAAATTTAATAAAAAAAATAAAAATGTATCTAGTGTTTAAATTATAATTACCTCTAGTTTGACAGATTTCCAATAGATTTACTACATTATCGTGCTTTAATAGTTGTAATATTCTAATTTCTCTGAGAGCAGTAATTGGAAACTAAAATTGATAATAAAATTATATAAGCATAAATAATAATCATCAATATTTTTTAAACAGTATCAACAAAATATTTTTATTTTTAGAATCATCACTCTAAAGTTTAAATATGTTATCTTTGAGTATCAAATACTTGAGAAATACCTTAATGTATCTATTTTTAGTTATTACTTTATCACTTAATTTATTGAGCGTTCTTAAGTACAATATATAAAAATGTATAACCAACAACTTACTCCTTCTTTTTCATTTTCCATAAGAATTTTTTTCATAGCAACTGTAAATTTATGATTTTTTTTGTCTCGTGCTTTGAACACTTCACTAAAAATTAAAATGCATATTAATTATTAGTTTCAATTTCACACTAATCAGGGGTCAACCAGTCGATCTTTTTATGAATATAGGTCAATCATAATAAAAATGAAGTATAATATTATCAGTTAATCTTAAGCGCCATTATTTGTAATTGTTTTATTGTACTTCAAATTTTGGAAGCATGAGTGTAAGGAAAAATCTAAATTTATGAGACATTGATCCTTAAAAAATTTAAACTAAATAATGTGAATCAACATTTTTTGATTACTCAAAAACACTTAAAGACAACTATCAATCAGTCAAGAATTACAATACTTTTATAATCGCTTCTTAGGGAGATTTATTAAAAGATGATTAAACGTATTTAGAATAATATTGTGTTAATTAAGTTTTAATAAAAAAAATCAGAATATTTTTTTTTATCAAACTTTGTATAATTAAACTGATATAAATTATAATCATACTATTATTATTTTAAGATATATATAGAACAATATAATATTTTGTACGTAACAATGAAAATGACAGAAGAGAAAATGTAAACTACTGATAGATTAAATAAAAATAATATGTTGTTACTAAATACCCAAAGGTGCCTTGACCAATCTTTGCCAGTTTTTCAAATTTGGTAGCTGCTTCGCAAAATGGGAAGTTATATTCTTCCAAATATTTCTCTCTCTCGCGGGCCATATTCATCTGCAGAAGATTGGGTGATGGTGTTGACGGTGGTGTCAACACACCATTCAAATTCGTCATGGCAGCCGTCTTGAAGTCCTTACGGAAAACGTTAGGGCCAAAAGAATACTGTCAAATATCAATATTTAAGACCCACAAGTCACAACCAAGACAAGTCAATGCTAAAGATATGGATATGGAAGTAATAAGTATAGAGTATAGACAGTAGACACAGACTGAGTTCTAGACCAAGAATCTTGGTCCAAGATATGTATCATGATTATCATGTGTACAGCTATTAAGACCATGGTATAGAATTTGTATACCATGGTAAGAGTATAATATACGTAATTTTATCACAAGGTTTATAAACCTTGGGAGTCTACGGTTTCGATTTAAAAACAAAATCATTAGTGATAAGTGTTATCATAAAATATTAATAGAACAGTAGATGTAGAACACTAATAAATAAAGACAGAACTTTTGGCAGTAGTGCATGACTATTGACTAGCCACTAGGTAATAGGTATAATATAAAACATAGCATCATGAGTCACTTAACAGGGGATGTCACCCTCTGGTGTATTACCTAATATCCCATATAAAATTTCTTAGATTAAATTACTTATCTAAGTGTAGACAAAGTGATTGTATAATTCCATAGACTTATAAGTCTATGCATAGTTCTATATTTGTTTTATCAGAGTAATAGGTCGCGATTCCAGTTTTTTTTTTAATCTGTGTGGAGGCTAGATAATACTTAAGGCCATTTTTTTGAACTAAATACTAAAGGGTTTATATTTTTTGGCAGTTTTATGTAGTAGGAATTTTAATGGCGTTTTGAAAGTACATTTACATATTTGAAGATTTGGCCAAATTTGAATACCATAGGAACAAAGTGGTCTAAAAACGGTTTTGTTTAAATAGTAATTGATTAGTAGGCAAGACCTAAAATTTTCTATTTTTCGTACCTATTTCACATTATATTTTAATCAAACTTTTAAACCAAGTGATGTAAAATGAATTGTAATAATATAAAAAAAAAATGTTATTATTTGCTACTCACTTTGGAATTTTGTAATACGTATTTCATTTTTTGTACTACAAAAAGTGTGTCGCAGTATACACAAATATAAGGCTTGCCTGATATTAGGTACCTATATAAGTAAATCCATACTATAGATAATTATGGAAATGTTCCGTATAGGTACATATTTAGAGAAATCAAATTAAACAATAATTAATTTAAGAACTGTTCTTGTGATTTACGGTACAATTTTATTATCATACATGTCAAAATCATAGTGGCGACGCATTATAGACATTTTTAAAAGTTTTTTTCATAATAGGTACAAAATATATTATTAATATATATATATATATATGTAAAGGTGCGTTTACATTATAGTCGAATGCAAACGAACGCGAGCGAATGCTACCGAATACATTCGTACGCGAATTCGTTGATGATTCGGCCGTTTACTGTGTTCAGTACTATTCGCGGTTGTTCGGGCTTGTTCATAAGCATTCGCTTTGAAAACAAAATATGGTTTAATATGGTTTAAAATATTCAGTTGTGGGCACACTACTATCCAGTAAACACGTGTAAATTCTATTTAAATTTGTTGTTTTTTTAATTATTTTGTTTATATTTGTTAATAAAAATGTCTTCAAGTGAAGATGCCAAAGATTTATTACTAGCTTGTGCATGTGCTATTACTACGAAATTATTGGTAAAAAAAAAACAAAGAAAAAAAACGTCGTTGGTGGATGCGATCGCTGTATCGGAACAGAGAATTATATAGTGGTAGTATGTTACTTAATGACTTAAAAAATGAAGACGGAATTGATCTGGCTTTATACATCTCAATGAGAAGTAGACACTCTTCATCCGTCCAATCCATTATTTATTTTTTTATAAGTATAATAAGTATTAAAAACTATTATTCAAATTGAAAAAGCTGTGGTGCGTGCGGTAATTGATCTCGAACACAACCGAATCAGAAATGACAGCCGAATATCGTTCGAACTGAACGAGCGTTTTCTTTGACCGTACCGCTATCCGAGCGAGCGTCACCGAACGCGAACGAATCGTTCGGCGCCAGTTCGCTCGCGTTCGGCAAAATGTTTTCACTACTGAATTCGGTACGATTCGCTCGCGTTCGTTCGCGTTCGGACTATAATGTAAACGGACCTTTATATGTATATTTTATTATTATCTATAATTCTAAAATCATACACTATGCATGATTATAAGCATGAAGCATAGAGTAATAATACTATATAGAGATATCTAGTCTTCATGATTATATTTATTATAACTGATAAGTGATAACAAGAACAGTCCACATTAAATTGATAACTTAAAATTTATTAGGGCTAAAACTGCTAAAAGCCTATAAATTAAAAACATGTAAATTTTAATTCATTTATTAGTAATTTTATATAAATATTAATTTAAAAACATTGTAGAAATGTGACCATTTGATGCAATTGACTATTCTAGTTTAACTAGTTCTATGTATTTGTTTTATTTCGGTTTCTTGTGTAATTCTAGGAAATTAGGTACCTAATCTAATGGATTTATTCTCTCCATAACGGTTTAAAATTGCCTGCAAAAATGCACAATCTGTCCCAAAGACTTACACTTGGTTTGTTGTTATTACTGCTGGCAGATATAATATGGATTATGTCGTCAAAACTTTTTTAACGTATGTTATATAAATATAATATAAACCATATTAATAATATTTTTCTTCCCATAAAAAATAATACATTTAGTGTTGTCACGTCTTAAATTAAGACATTATTTTTATATGTTTGGAAAATATAGATCAACTTTTTAATAAATCTTTACAAATTAATTGTTGCAACTGCCAATTAAAAAGATAAATTAATTTTATTTTTTCAGTATGTTCCTTACAAAACTGATGATTACAAAAAACCATTCTTTTTTGCCTATACCAAAGCTTCGATATTTACTCTCTACTTTCTGATATACATAATATTTAAGGAATTACGAAAACCTTGTGGAAACCAAACTAATTATATGGTAAACTTAGATTTATGAACTTAATTCTTCATATTTTCAATAAATTATTATATTATGATGTTTTAGTTTGCTAATTTTGATACAATTGAAAATGATGATGACGATGAAGATGATAATGTTTTTACTGATGAAACTGAAAGATTAGTAAGAATTTTGGTTTATATTATTATTTGTTGTAGAAATATTTTCTTAAGAGCTTGCAAAATAAATTCATGTTTGATTTATTTAAACTAATTAATTATACAATTTATTTTTGGTTCTAAAATTACTTAAATTAAATTAATAAAATAATTAAAACAATTAAATAAAAAATTAAGAATAAATTTAGTTAAGGTTTCAAGTTATATTTTAACTTCTTTTTATTTTCTAGATTGAAAATCAAGATATTCTGATGATATTTCCGCATTATTTTGTATTAATACATTTATAATTATTTTAATATTAAGTAGCATGTTTGAAAATTATAAGAAGTTATTGTATCCTCTTAAACAACTTCTTTTAAACATTCAATCCATGATAGTCATTGATAATGTTTTAGAGAGCTTAGAACTGCAACTCAATATCTCCAAAAATTTCAATATTATTTCTAAATGGAATTATTTATATCATGTTAACAGTAATCAGGGTGTTGTGCTACTTTGCATTAAAAAATGCTGGAGGCTACTCTATCACACGCCTGTAAAAATTCAAACAAAAATCTGCTTATGAATATTTTTGTACAGTAACATAATTATATGCTAATATAAAATAATGATGTTAAGTTCACAATTGGAATTATTGTGAAAATTATCATATTAAAAAGTCAAATTTTGTTTATTCAAACAGGCATTCAAGATTCAGACATGGTTTCTTTTACATACTGAATACCTTTATTTTTGAATTAATTTGTAGAACTTAATAATACTATTTACTTTACTTTTTTAAGTGACCTTTGTCTAATCAATTAATTTTTAAGTAAAAAATATGTATAACAACCTGGATAGTTAAATTATATATATGTAGCATCCATTTATGTTATTAGAATTTCTTAAGTTTGTTATAAACATTATTTATTATACCTGTTTTATAAATTGAAATCACAAATTGTTTTTCTTAATTTATAAACATTTTATTTATAGCTTAGTTTATACAGCTTTTTATAAACAGTGAATACTCATTTTCATACAGAGCACAGCAAGTTATGTTCCCATCAAAAATCCTAGTATAACTTCTGGTACAGAGAGTGACGATTCAGGAACTGTTAAGCCAAATAATAAAGTTGTTCGATTTAACAAAGTTGCTGAGGTAATACAATTTTTTGTTAAATTATAAATAAATGTGTTTTTGTTAATCAAACTTCTTAATTTTATCTATTTATTTATTTATTAATTATTGCAGGTTAGACATTTGTCCGAAACAGAAGCAACAGAAGCATTAATGGCTCGTTTATCATATGCTGCTACAATTAGAGCACGAGAAATTTGCCGATTATCGAGGCAATTACTAAATTTACACCAAACTGCAAAGCTAGCTTTTACAGTAGCACCACTCGTAAGAATTACTAAATATTTATATAGTTACAAAATTTTTTTTTGCTTCAATACTTATAAATACCTTTTTACTGTCAGTTAATTTAACCTCTCTACATTTCTTAAACACTTAAATTAAAACTCAATACAACTAGAATATTATCATCCAATATAAACTTTAATAATACTACATCAAATTCAAAATATTTCTATGTTATATGATCACACTTATATATTTTAATAATATAAAATATAAATTACATTTAACTTTATAAAATAAGACATTAAAATTAAATAATCAATGATTTCATTCTTTTATAAATTTAGGTACTCGCATATATGTTACATTTTTATTTATATTATTAAATTGTTCATGTTGAAATTAAAATTAAATATTATTGTATTAAATTAAATTGTATTTGCATTTTAAATTATTGTTTATAAATTAAATATTCTCACCTTTAAAAAAAATTGTAATACTACTTATGCTGTTTAATTATTATTTATTACAAATTATATTTATGCATTGTTTAATTCTTCTTTTTTTTTTCCAGTGGGGTGTTGCTAATTTATTACATCAAATATCTATGATTTACATGGAACATACCCTAGTGTGTGTTGTATTGTCTACAACTAGCTTTTTCACTCTTCTGCTATCTCTATTTTTTGTTACACCTCCTACAGATCGTTTTACAGTCACTAAATTGTTAACTGTATTATTCAGTATAACTGGAAATGTGTGTATTAATTTTTAAATAATATAAACAATTATAATAGTTTGTTTAAAATACAAAGTAGAGAATATTATTTGTTGAATTACTTAAACTGTATTTTTAAAAAATTGAATACTTGTTGATTGATTTAGAATAAGATTACAATTCTCATTAAACATAATATTTTAAACAAACTAAAATAAATTTGTATTATATTTTGACTATTTAAAAATATATTTTATATTTACAGGTTATAATTACTTTACCTGATTCTCATTTTAGTTTTAGTGAAATTAATGTTGGATTTGCATTATCTTTATGTAGTGCTATTTTTTATGCATTAAATATTGTTACATTACGATCTTGGGTTGATCATGAAGACAAATTAGATATCATATTGTACTTTGGTAATATTTTATGAACTAAATACTTATTGATTTTAATGTGTATTATATTAAATGTTACTGAATAAATAATTTTATTTCTAGGTCTTGTTGGTCTATTTAATGTACTAATGTTTTGGCCATTGTTCATTTTTCTTCATTATTTTGAACTTGAAACCTTTGAATGGCCTAACAATCAACAAGCAATTTCATTGTTAATAAATGGAGTTGTAAAAGCTACATTGCCTGAAGTCATATGGTTATGGTAAAATTGTTATACTTACTTTATTTTACAGTTCTAAATTATTTTTTCATAATAGGGGATGTTTGCTGACATCATCAATTATTGCAACAATGTCTATAGGACTAACTATTCCAATGTCTTTAATGCTATATGGCATTTCCAGTCAAAACAAGTCTGATTATGAGCGATTTTTGTTACCATCATTTTATTTAGGTTTAGTTCCTACAACTTTCTCTTATTTTTGTCTGATTTGGTTAACATATCGATTTAGTTATAATCAAAACGAATACAATTGTCTAAGTCGTTGTCAGAGAAAAAATTTAATTAGGTAAATAAACAGGAAATGTTACTAAAAAAAAATATTATTTACATTAATATTATTTGATCAACAGGCTTAGAGATAGTGATGCTGAACAATCAGAATCACTTATACAAATTCATGAAACAGACAAAGAAGTATGATAAAATTTATTTACCCTTTAAATTACCTACCAGAATTAATTATTTTTAGTATTTTTACCTATTTATGTGCAATATATTATTAGACTTCTTTACATTATTTATTAGGTGTTATATTACAATTTAAATCCAGATTGTAAAATTAATAAAAATAATTAACTATTGTTATTACTTATCACTTATTACTAATATCATCTTAGAATAAGATTTATGTTTACATATTTGTATCAAAAATGAGTATATTCTTGTCAACCAGTAAAGTTTAATTTACGTATTTGTATTCTTTATCATGAAAACTATAACAATAGTTTATAAATAACAAATTGGCTTATGTTAAATATTTGATATTTTAAATCTGGATTTCAAATTTTAAATGTAACATCATAGTTTATTTTATCATAATATTATGATATTATAAAACTTTAAATCTTTGTTTCATCTGTGTTATTATTTATATTTAATTTATTTTAAATATGTATTTTTACATTTTAATCAAATTTACTACTAATTTTTTAGAAAATTGTATACCTAATGTATTTAATTTTTATTGTATTTCTATAAACCTTTTAAGATTAATCACTAAATGTCTATATTGTAGTTAGTAATATCTATCAAAATCTCTTGTTACCACATATAATAAAATATACTAAAACTAAAAATTGATCTAGATCTGTATTTGTTATTATAAAGAATATTTAATGTTATAGTATTATAAAATTGTCTGCTTCTTTTTAATTATTTAAATTTGATTCTTAATTTTTTTACAAGAAAGATACAATTATGATATAAATGATTAAAGTTTTTAGCATTAAATTATTTTTTAAATCTTAACTAAATTAATGTTGAAGGCATAATAATTAATAGTCATTGTTATAATATTTATTAATTTACTAATTTATATAATATTTAAAATTCTCATTAAGTATTCATTGACAGTTGTGTAGTTTGGATGATATTTCAAGGTTGTTATAAATATACCTATATCGCACAATGAAATTCGAATAATTCCAGATTAACTGTAAACATAGCTTAAAATATATACTCAGAAAATTAATATCACTGTTGCAATTAAGGTACAACTATTTTTAAATAAATAAGTAAAATACTTATACATTAAGCAATTTTTTTAAGTCATCAAATGTCCAGATATGGAGGATAATCCCTCAAAATACACCATTGAATATTCTATTTACATTTAATTATATAAACAAAAATTTGGCTATATTCATAACACATTGTAAAATGAAATATATAATCAACATAAGCTCAACATTCATGGATTCAATCCAGAGTTACATACTTTTAAGAATGTATTATGGCCAAAAATTGAGTATCTAATTTACGGAAGTGAGTGAAAAATAAATTCAGACCAGAACTCAGGATAATAAATTTTATTCAGGTTATCCAGTATTTTTTGATTGGATATTAAAAATATGTATTTTTAATTATAACATACAAACAATTATAGTCTATAAAATTATTTGATTTTTTTTTTTTTAATAATAACTTTGATATGTAGTGGTAAATGGTAATTCAAAGTTAATGATGGCAGTGTATTGAAAACTAAAGCATTATAATCCAATTTCCAATGACTATATACAAAACATAATATTAACAAATAAAATTGCTTGTTCTACCAATTTTAGTAAAAAATCATATATTTTTTAATGGTTAAAAACTAGGTAAATATTTATCATATTATACACAGTGATTTTCATAACTAGATTTATCAAAAATAATGTAAAATATGATGCGAAATATAATCGTTTAAATTATAAAATATGTATAGAAATAAAAATGTCACTTTTATTATTTATATAATATGAAGTTACATACACTCGCATATTATAATTGTTAAAAAAAATGACATCATTTTTTTTTTAAATAAATGGTATAATTTGTTTAATTGATTTCAGAAAAATATCCACTTTTAAATTAGCTGAAAATTTTTAAAAATAATAAAGATAAATAAATTACTAATTCTTCACTATTTGAATAATACTTATCAAACTTAATAAAACTTTGCCCATTAGTTATTCCATGTATAAGTATTAAGTATATATCTTTTCTATACCAAAGCACTATTAGTCAGCTATTGTATATTTCATAAGTTGAACAAAGTATAGCATATAAAGTTAATTGATTTAATATATATTAAAATATTTTTTTAATATTTGTTAACATCAAGCTTTTAATAGAGCTTTTTATAGTAGCTAATACATTAACTTGTAAATTAATAAATAGAATACCAGATGTTCTTTAGTTTATTAGAAATTACAATCACAGTTTACTATTTATAATAAATATAAATTATTATTTTCCTTAACAGTAATTAAATTTTACTAATTGAATGGATAGTTGATGTTTATTGATTATTTAACTAAAATTTGATTTCATACATATTTTATTTAACATTTAACTGTAACAAACTTAAAAATGTATTTTAAATCTTAGTTACTACACAAAAATAACTTGACTGTAATCAATATTCAGAAATATTTATCTGAATAAGTATAATATTTAACATTTTCTTGAGGCCATTGTTTAGGCATAAATGGTCTATATCGTTTACACCAATAATTTCCAATATACATCAATCCACTTATTCCAAAAACTGCAGCAAATAATGATAATACTCTCTGCCAGTCTGGATATCTAGCTTTTTCTCTATAATTTGGGTCACCTTTGTCTGAACCCCACATATCAGAATGAACGTGCATTATCTCGCCTATGAAAAAAAAGTAAAAATAAAAATCATTGAACAATACCAAGGATACAAATTAGTTATTTTATAGGCTTACCAAAGTTTCTATTATGTTCGGGGCAATCCCAGGGATAATATTCACTTTTGGAATCCTGGCCAATGTCTGGTAATTTTGGGTAGTCACCAAAACCCAAACCATCATCTGGATGTGGTGCATACTCTTCTGGTAGCAGGCCATACTTTTTTGCTGCAGCAAGTCGTTCTTCTTCAGTTTTTGGATATGGACCAGGCTTCCAAGGTTCATGCGATACTGCACTCCTGCTAGACACTACATAAATAGCTTTAGTGCGCAACATCCCGTTAATCACACGGGGCAAAGCCATTTTTAAACGCTATTATAAATCAAAATTAAATCTTTTAATTTAGATCAATGATAAAATAAAAGTGTATCCGCTTATCGAAGAGATATAGGCAATATAGCCATACTAAACACTGAAGTCAGATATTTGATTTAGGATTATTACAATTTTCAATATATTTTCTTAAATTATGTTGATAACAGCGAAGGACATTTATTAACCACATACCACAGTAAACTCTGTGTTATAACTTTCAACCTTGGTTATGTACATGGTAATGCATTTTTCTGGGTTTCATTTTCATACATTAATCACAACTCACAAATTTACAAATGTATTTTCAGAAAAAAATCTATTAGCTTAAATGTAAATCTGGAATCTACTTAATATAGTCAACCGCAAAATAGATTGAATATAAATTGAATTTTAAAATAGATCTTAATTTCAATTTTCAACTCAATGAAAAAATTATTCATGATCATTTTTGTTACAGTTCACCGTACTGTTTTTTCAAACGACTGAAACGCTAACAGTGGCAGTTTATTAAACCATACGGTTTTTCATTGGACGTTTTTACAGAGTTTTGTTTCCTTATCTTTCATGTTCATGTTTACAACATAATTCGATAACGTGAATACGTAATTTAATTGAATGAATATTAATTATTATACAAATTAGTAATTACTGAATAACTTACTATAATAATTATTCGGTTTCCGATTTTGTTTATTGTTATGTATACTCAAATTTAAATCCATTTTTAGATTTACAATGTCCGATACTGAAGATGTATACATGTGTGAAGATGACGAAGATTATGGTCTTGTAAGTTAATTTATTCTAATACTTTATAAAATACACTTTTTTGTTTTCAATTTTGTATTTAGGACTTTAGTATTCAGTATTTTAATACATTTTATTTAAGATACTTAAAATAATTCTTTAACTTGAAAAAAAATATACAAAATAGTAATAGTGGCTTCTTACATATATTTTTAGTTATTTAATTAAAAGCAGTATTTGTATAATATGTTTTTGAAGTATAAAACAATAACCCTTAAACATATGTGTGTATTAAAGTATTAAACTATTAAACAAATTCTTAATTTTTTCTATAGGAATATTCAGAAGATAGCAATTCTGAACCCGATGTGGACCTGGAAAATCAATATTATAATTCCAAATCACTTAAAGAAAAGGATCCTAATGCATCATTAGTGTCTTTTCAAAAAGTATTGGATCTTGAAGCTGGCGAAAAAGGAGAATGGGGTTTCAAAGCTTTGAAACAAATGATCAAAATTAATTTCCGTCTTGTGAGTTAAACATACAAATTTGTTATTTGAAAATTTAAATTAGATAAATGTAAATATTAATAATATTAATTATTTTTTGTACAAATAAAGTAGTATATATTTAGTAATCTTATTCTACCTAAGGAAATATAACTTTATAATGATATTAAATCTACTATTTCCATTAACTACATATAAACATGTATGGCAAATAATTTGTATTCTTATATTTATTTAGTTTTTCATAGTATCATATATTACCTATTATTATTTTAATTTTGTTCAGAATAATTTTGATGAAATGATGAATCGTTATAAGCAATTATTAACATACATAAAAACTGCAGTTACTCGGAATCATAGTGAAAAATCTATAAATTCAATTTTAGATTATATTTCAACTTCAAAAAATGTAAGTTTCTGAAATACATTAGATAATAGATATTTTATTATTGTAATATCTTGATTTAAAACATATTTAACATAATATTTCTTTTAAATGTAGATGGATTTATTGCAAAATTTCTATGAAACGACTTTAGATGCATTGAAAGATGCTAAGAATGATAGACTTTGGTTCAAAACTAATACGAAATTGGGTAAATTGTACTTTGATTTAGCCGATTACAATAAACTGACAAAAATCCTAAAGCAGTTGCATGCTTCTTGTCAAGTAAGATATACCTAAATTTAAATACTTGGTTATTATTACTCACCTATGTTGTATAATTTGAATTTATTATTATGTATAGTTTCTCGTAATATGTAACAAAAAGATACTATTCCTGCTCAATTACTTAATCTTAATGTTTATTATAAATATTATAATTAAAAATTATTTACAATTTAGGTATAATTTTTTCATTCTTTTAGAACAAATTAAATTTTATGGAGCTAACAGTACCTCTATTTATTTTTTTGTTTTATTTGCTGTATTATCTTCACTAAATGGCATTCTGTAAACAAATTTTATTAGGCTCATGAACTTGATATATAATTTTTGATTGGATTAAATAAATTAATTGAGATTTTCATTTTATTTTATTTTTATTGTCAAATATGTACACTGAATTTAATGATCTTTAAAAATTTACAAATTCATTATTTGACCTATCAAAATTATTAAGTAGTATCTCTTTCGATTGTTTTAACACCTTTAAATAAGGCATGATATTTTAAAATCTGAGTTTTCAACAAAATTTGACATTCGTGGTAATTGAAACTAAGCGACATAATACAATTACTTTTTTTTTAATAGTAGTTTCCTTAATGAATTTTTTACTTTAAAAATCATTAATTGAACCAGTATTACTTATTGAATTTGCATAATAAAATCATAAACATCCTATTACAATATTAGTTTCATTATATTGTTTTTTAATATCCCAACGTGTTTGTGTACTTTTATATATTCTATGTTTAATAAATCATTTAAATATATTTTTTAATGAATTGTTAACATTATAATTCTAGACTGATAATGGTGAAGACGATCTTAAAAAAGGCACTCAACTGTTAGAAATTTATGCTTTAGAAATACAAATGTATACAGCACAAAAGAACAATAAAAAATTAAAAGAACTTTACGAACAGTCACTTCATATTAAATCTGCTATTCCTCATCCTTTGATTATGGGTGTTATTCGAGGTAAATTAAAAAAAAAAAAATGAAGTAATATAATTAGAATTAATCTCAACATATAATTTTACAGAATGTGGTGGTAAAATGCACTTAGAAGAAGGCCATTTCTCTAAGGCACATACTGATTTTTTCGAAGCTTTCAAAAATTATGATGAATCTGGAAGTCCTCGTCGTACAACATGCTTAAAATACCTAGTTTTGGCAAACATGTAAAAGTTTTAAGTTAACCTTAATAATGATTAGTTAAAATTAATAATTATAATTGTTATAAAAATTTAAGGTTAATGAAATCTGGCATCAACCCATTTGACTCACAAGAAGCTAAACCTTATAAAAATGATCCAGAAATATTAGCAATGACTAACTTAGTCCAAGCTTACCAGAATGATGACATTAAGGAATTTGAAACTATCTTAAAAAATCATCGTAAAAATATAATGGATGATCCATTTATTAGAGAACATATTGAAGGTAAATTGGCTAATATTCTGATAAATTTTGCTGTTTATTATATTTAATTACATATTTCATTTTCTAGCCTTGTTAAGTAATATTCGTACGCAAGTATTGATAAAATTAATTAAACCTTATACTCGTGTTCATATACCATACATTGCAACTGAACTCAATATTGAAGAAAGTGATGTAGAAAGTCTTTTAGTTACATGTATTCTAGATGAGTAAGTTTATTTCCTTTTTTAAATATATTTTTTACTATATACAGTTTGTATTTTAGAACCATTAAAGGCCGTATTGATCAGACAAATCAAGTGTTAACTTTAACACTAGTTGATTCAGCAACCAACCGTTATGCAGCCATAGATAAATGGACCAATCAACTGGCCACTCTCAATTTATCTATTTCGCAAAAAATATTTTAAAAATGTTCAATGTAATTTTTTTTTAAATAAATATTTTACAATATATAAAATATTATGATATTAATGTCTGAAATGTTCCAAATCAAAAGAATATTAATTAAAATATTTTTGGAACAAATTTTTAATAGTTTGAAATATACTGAATATTTTTTTTTTATAATTCATCTTTATCTTTGATTTTTTCTAGCAATGTTGAAAAGAACTTGGCTTTTGATAACAATACTTTTGCTTGATTTTGGTTGTTTTCACTGAAAGCTTTTGATAAATCCCTAATAACATACAAATATTAATTATATACCATAATAAAATATTCCTAATTAAATTATGTAACTAACATGTATAAGTCAACCAACATATCATCAATATCTTTCTTCAAACCTTCAAGAGATTCTTTTGTACTAACTTCTTCGACTTTTTCATTCCAATCCATTATTTCACATAAAAAAGTGGTATCCATTGTTATAGAATCTTCATCAATACTCAAACCACCAAGGTGTAACATATAAAGGCCTCTTAGAAGTGGATTCAATAGAGTAGTATAAGATTTATTTAAAAGAGAAGAAAATGATTCTGATAGTAATTGTTCTTCCTAAAACACAATTAATTTTAAGACATGATTAAATATATTGAAATAAACAAAATTTACTTTAGTTTTGTTGGAAAATCGATCTGGGTGCATAAGGTTTTGTAGTTTTCTAAAGTTTGATGTCAATTGTACAGTATCAATGTCATACTGAACATTGATGTTAAATAGCTCAAAATAATTTAAATTCTGATCTTTGGGTGACTGAATTATTGAGCAATTTTTACAAAATAGACATGGTCTGATGTCTAATGTTGTTTGACAGTTCCAACATTTGAACCCATCATAAGTTACATACGAATGGCCCTTGAATTTATTATATCTGATAGTGTCTTTCTGTAGATATGAGGGTTCTAAAAATTGTCTAGCTGCAGAATGATGAACGTTCTGATATACTGTTCTTAATAAGCTATTTCCAAACATACTTGTACGCCAATATCGCATCACAGACATTATAAAATATGTAACAATACAATAATCGATAAAGAAAAACAAATGACTAAAAATCAATACTTATGTATTGAATTTAACTTATTTTATAATTAAATATTTATAAATTTTTTACAATTTTACTCTGCTTTTTGCTTCTTGCAAAAGTTTTGTTTGTCTTATGTCATATATAGTCGATAAAAAATATATTGATAATATAATGATTATGAATAATGATAACATTCTTTCCACTATCACAGATAGATAACAATTAACAATGCATGTTAATACATCATGATCTTAAATCTTAATCTGATACGTCTGAGTCCAAACTCTAGAAACGTCCAACATATTTTATAAAATTAAATCCATCGTTTAAATAATAAATATTATTTGGTCATAAATCATGATTATTTTGTAGGTAACTATATGTATAATTTTTTAACTTTCTATTGAATGATTTATACATTAAAAACTATTATAATGTTTTGTATGTAGTTTTAAATCTATAAATAAGTCCTATTTTATCTTAAAACTGTGATTAAATAAAACTGTTTCTTGATTCCGTAAAGATTAAATATATCTTAAATCATTGATATATAAGTATATAACAAGTAGCAAATAATAATTAATAACTAAACAACTCAAGGAAAAAAGACGGATTTCTCGAATAAGATCAAAAAGCGTTAATGTATTGCAAGGATACAGGGTGTGATGAGTGAATTGTCTGTAATCACGTATAAATACTTAATAAACAAGAAAAAATAGTAAAAATAAATAATGATGAATACGATGTTACGGATGCTGTATAGAAAATAATAAACAAATAAGCAACAGTGCAATACAATTAATTATAAATTATATTAATTACAATAATAAATAATAATAATAATTTTTAATTTGAATACCTACTACCTAGTATTAATGCTAAACTGCTAAACAAATAATAAAACGTAAATAACATATATTATAAAATTGCCATTTGAGCAAGATTGAAGATAAACTTTTTGTTGTAAAATAATTTATATAATATAAATAATTATAGAATACGATATAATCAATAATAATCATATAATATAATGATATAAATAACCAGTGAATGCATGACTTGAATAAAATATGTTAGGATTACGTCCATAAATTCAAACATGAAAGAATATTAGAAAATAGAAATAATTTACTAGAGATCGCTGCGTGAGTATTTTATTTTGTTATCAAAATATTCAACTGAACACTTGGGCGGGGCTAACCCATCGATGCTCATCAAATAGTCACACTGGACGCTACATAGTTGTAGTATGTGACAGGTTACGTTAAATTTTTGTTAGTAAATAAAATTATTGTAATTTCCGTTTCCTGCGTTTTGTGATTAATTAGTCATTTTATTTTATGTTTTAGTATACGATTTAGTGTGGTATCGTTTATTGTTTCAGATATCTACAGGTCCATATAACAAGTGTTGCTTTTTATTGCTTTTAGTATGCAGTGTATGATCACCCGTTAATGGAATTTAAATCTAAGGTATTTATCATGTTAGGGCGTAAACCTTTGGTAGTTCGGCTATATTATATAAATTAACGATGTATATAATTATAAGGTATATAAGGTTTAAATATTTATTCTTGATTCTCTGAATTTATGATTTGTATTTTAATAGATCATAAAAATTAATTTAATAAGTTATTGTAGTATATAGTATTTACACTATTTCGTGTTGAAGATATTGAAAATCACATAGACATTTACTCATATTGTTATTAGCCCAATATACATATTTATAAATTTGATGCTTTTTTCAGTATAATTTGTAAATTATTATTAATTTAATCAATTGAAAATTATATTTGTTTACATAAATGTTTTCAATGATAGCATTTGTGCATTTATTCAACATACCAACAACCTGTTGATTTATTTTCACATGATAACTGTTTATTTAAATTTCAACTTACCTAGCATACTTCATATATCTATTTAGTTACCATAATATCTTGATAGGGGGCTATTAAGAGTTTTTACCTTTTTCTTTATTGATATATAGTTTAATTTGGAGCTAGTAAGTTGAAAGTAGCAAGCTATTAGTCAACAATTAGAGTGACCAATGTGCTTAATTGATGCGGTTCTTGAATACCAATCTGTTTACTTTTATCATTCTTTAATTAATTATTTATTATGTTTTTTATATTTATCTTTTAATATGAGCTATTAACACAGTAGTAATTAGTCATAATATAATTAAATTAACAGTCCGCTTTATTGTATTAAATTTTCAGATTTTCCAAAATGATTTCTATTTATATGATACTTACTTTAATTTTAAAACTTTGTGTGGGACAAGACTATCTTTCACCATCATACAAAGTTTCTCAAGAAAATGACTACTCACGTACTACAAAATCACAAAGTGATAAATTATTCAATAATTTATATGATTGGAAAAATAATTATGATAATAACATTATCATCCCTGATGCGTAAGTAATTTCTATTATTTAGTGTTTATAATGTAGAAATGAATAATTATTGTACATATTAATTTTGATTTTTGATCTTTTTAGGAATTATTTTGTGGTTGCAAGTCGAATGGTTAGACCAGGTCAAGTGTACAAAGTAGCAGTCACTGTTTATAAAGCCAAACAACCAATTTCTGTTAGAGCTTCAATTCAAAGAAATGGAGTTGAATTAGCTTCTGACACAAGTTTAATTAAAGAAGGAATTCAAGAAACATTATTATTATTGGTTAGAATCAATATTAGATATTTTTTTCAAATCTCTTAAGAGAATATGATTTGTTATTTAAATATATATATATTGTTACATTTAGGTTCCAGCTACAAGTGTTACTGGTGATTATAAACTAAGAGTAGAGGGCTTATATGATGGAATTATTGGTGGATATGCATTTAATAATGAAACTCGATTAAATTTTTCACAACGATCTATGACAATTTTTATACAAACTGATAAACCAATATATAAACAATCTGATATTGGTATGTAAATTTTAAATGGATATTAAATATTTTAGATTTAAATAATATCAATACAAATAAATAATATTCATTTTAGTTTATTTCCGAGCAATTCCAATTAATACAGAGTTAAAAGCTTTTGATAATCCTGTTGATGTATATATCCTTGATCCAAATCGCTATATTATGAGACGTTGGCTTTCAAGACAAGTATATATTTATTTATACAAATTCTAGTTCTCATCTACATTTTTCTATTTGAAATTATTTACTTATAGTCAAACTTTGGATGTGTAAGTTTAAATTATGAAATGTCTGATCAGCCTGTGTTTGGAGAATGGACCATTCAAGTCGTAGCTCAAGGGCAGATTGAAGAAGTTACATTTTTAGTAGAAGAATATTATCAAACCCGTTTTGAGGTACATTACATTTGTTTTATAATTAACACTTATATTATTGATTTATTCAATTTATCAGGTTAATGTTACAATGGCTGCTTATTTTTTTGATTCGGATAAATATTTGAGTGGCTATGTAATGGCAAATTATACTAGTGGAGGACCTGTAAAAGGAAATCTAACATTAAAAGCAACAATACGACCACTCAAAAACGGGTTTAAAAATTATGATGGTCCTATAATTGAAAAATATTTGAGTTTTGTAAGTTAAACTAATAATTATGTATATAATCTACAAAATAATTGAATATTTAAGATTATTTATATTTTTCCTTCAGGATGAAGAGCGTCCTTCTTGGTATCCTAAACAATCTGAATATTCAAGAATAAATCAAATACCACATTTACAATGGGTTAGTATTTTTTAATTTACACACATGTATATATATATATATATAGTAAATTTAAAGAAATTTAATATTCATAATTTGAATTAGGTACCATTTAGTTTTTAATTTAATGATTATTTAAATATTTTTATTTTCAGTTTTATGGTGTTTATAAGTTCAGATATCCTTTAAGTGAGTTGCAACAATTAGTTTCTTCTTTAGAAGAGACTGAGGTAACTATAACAGCCACAGTAGGAGAAAGATATTTAAATGAAATTGTAGAAGGCTATTCAACTGCAAGATTTTTTAACTCTTCAGTTAGAGTTGCATTTTTGGGTGGCTCACCACAAGTTTTTAAACCAGCTATGCCATTTTCTATTTATGTAAGTACAGTTTTTGTTTCTTTTATATTTATGAGTATTTTTTATTTATTTTTATTAACAAAATTTAAATATAATCTAATAGATAACAGTTTCTCATCATGACGGATCACCATTGGATAGATACAGATTGTTGCTTGGTCGCTTAGATATATCTGCTGAAGTTATGATGAAATCTGGTAGTCGCAGAACTATTGATACAAAAATGTTAAAAATGTCAACAGATCACGAAGGAGTATTTGAAATGAAATTATATTTACGTAAAGAATTAGGTAAATTGTATATAAATAAAATATGTAAACATTTAAAATAAATATGCATTCTATTTTATCATTAGGTCTTGAAAATGAAAAACGTGCTTCAGAAGTATTAAAAGATATTGAATCAATGAAAATATATGCCTCATTTAAAGATATGTATGGCGAAAGATCAACTACAGAACTACTTTTACTTACTCATTATTCGCCTAGTCAACATCATCTTAAAGTTTGGACTTCAACTAAAGATGCCAAAGTATTATTATTATTTAATATTTGTAATCTATACAATCAATTAATTTTAAGCCCAATGCTTTAGAATAGATTGGTTACCAAATATAAATAATGAATATTTTTAATTTTGACTTTTCTGTGCTATTTAACTGAAAAACTCTTAAATTAAAGTGAAAACATATTTAAGAAGTAATTTTTTGGTATTTTTGAATTTTTGATGCAAAAAACAAATATACATCTTACTTTGTTATTTATAATTATATTTTACAAAAAAAAAGAATCAAATATTATAGAATGCGACACTGATCGTTAAATTTAAGTACAATATTATTTATCTTAAAGTGAAAGAAACAAGAAATTTTCATCAGTTTAATTATGTTGTCTGTTTTTTAATATTCTATTTTTTATTGATTTGCAGGTTGGACAGTTTATAGTGTTCCATGTACAAAGCAATTATTATTTAGAATCATTTGATTATATCATGCTTTCAAAAGGTATGATATTAGTAACTGGACATGAAGTCACTCATGCTTCAACAATCCGAACATTTGCTGTTACTTTATCAGCTGAAATGGCACCAGCTGCTACTATACTTGTGTATCATGTTGGTAAATTTGGGGATGTAGTTGCAGATAGCTTAACATTTCCAGTGAATGGAATATCAAGAAATAATGTAAGTTAAAAAAAAAAATTTAAATAAAAAAAGTTGTGAGCCAGTCAATCAGAAATTATTTTTAATTCCTATTTATATCAATCAAATTATTTTTGAAATTAGCAGTTAGTAACTAATGTTAATTACAGTAACATGTTTGCATTATTTTACTTAAAATTAATACAATATCATATTATTTTTGTTTAATTGTTTGCACAACACGAGTGTTTTATAGACTTAAAATATAATACAATGTTATAAATACATATATTTATTACCTTATAATAAATTATTAAATTATTTATATAATTTATTTGTTTAAAAACATTAATTAAATTTATGGTTTTTGTGCACTACTAAATTTTTATTATGTATGTTATATTATTTCAGTTCACTGTTTTTATCAACAATCGTAAAAGCAGAAGTGGAGAAAAGGTTGAAGTAGCAGTATATGGTGAACCTGGAGCATATGTTGGGTTATCTAGTTTAGATTATCCATTCTATGGTCTACAAGCAGGAAATGAATTAACATATGCTAAAGTAAAATTTGCAATTTTGTTCAAACTTCCAACTAATATTTCATATTAATTATTAACTTATTCGTTAAAATTTAGATTTTGACTAAAATGGAAAGGTTTGATGAAGATACAAATGGTACAATTATGCACACATGGCTTTCACATGAAGGTTCTCCTGATGAAATAGTTTATTTTCCATCATCTACTTTTGGAATAGATGCTAATCGTACATTTGAGTAAGTATACTAAAAATATACTATGTATAAATTATTACATTTATTAATTTTATATATTTATTAAAATTATTATTGTAAATGTCCTATTAGTATTTATAACACTTTGTTTTAGATTTGCTGGTGTAGTTGTATTTACTGATGTTGTTTTACCAAAGCGAATGACTTTATGTAACCAAACTCTAGGATATGCTGAATGTCTTAGTGGTCGCTGTTATTTAGCTAATAGAAAATGTGATGGACATATTGATTGTGATGATGGCACTGACGAAGCCCTATGTAAATTTATAATATTGAAATATTAAAAATATCTATAATATTATATTACAATTAAAATGCAGTTTAGTAATCACAGTCATTAACCAGTTTTTATTTAAATAAAAACATATTTTCACTGTTGTAAAACACTAAATTTGAATATACTTTGGAGTGTAAACCAAAAAATTACTTACTAATAGTATGTTTTTTAAGCTTAATATTACATAACAACAAATTAATTTTGACCATCTTACTTCCTTTTTAAATTTAAATATGCTGGTAGATGGAATTACCAAATTTTGGCAATTGTACTTTGCAAGTTCAACTTATATAATTTTGAAACTTAAAAACTGGTATTGTTTCATAAATAAGAATAGAAACTTTTATTCGTTCTAATTACATAATAAATAATTTAAAAAACATAGTAATTAAAAAATTCAATTTTTGCTATAATTTAAATAATAAATTACCATGACCAAAATTTGATTATTTTATCATATTCTACATATAAACATAATAATTTAATAATAATATTTAAAAAAAATTGGCTATCAAAGTTTTTGAAAAAGTTATTTTATTTTTTCTCAACATCTCATTGAAAAATAAGCATTATTACTTATTTGCAATTATTATTATGATCCTAATCGTACTCAGATATTTAATCATTTTGCTAATTTCAACTTCTATACTTTTTTATTATTATTTATTGTAAGTATATATTCTTAAGGCTATTTTAAATGACTAGCACCTATGGCGTTTGCATTTCAAAACTATAAAACTTAGTTGGAAATATTTTAATTAATTGTAGTATTTTAGTATTAATAAACTATTCTTATGTTGTTTATTACAACATATTTTTGATATATTACTTACTTGAAAATGTCTTGATTAATATATTTTAGAATAACTTTCTATTTCTCCTATGTATTAGGTCCATTGTATAATCGTACAGAATTCAATAACTTTCGAAAGTTCCGTTACAATCATCTACAAAGACATTATGACAATGTATGGATGTGGCGAGATATTAATATTGGACCTCATGGGCGATTCATATTTGATTTAGACGTACCCCATCGACCTGCAAATTGGATGATTACTGCATTTAGTTTAAGTCCTTCTAAAGGCTTTGGCATGATTAAAAAGCCCATTGAAGTATGTAAATGTCTAATAATTTAGTATTTATATTATTAATCAAAAATCATTTTTTTTTTTTTTTACAGTACATTGGGGTATTACCATTTTTTATGAATGTTGAAATGCCTACACATTGTAAAGAAGGTGAACAGATTGGAATTCGTGTTACTGTTTTTAATTACATGTGCAGTAGTGTTGAAGCTGTTGTTGTTTTATTTGGTTCAGAGTCGTATAAATTTGTTCATGTTGAAGAAAATGGAATAGTATGAAATACCATATAAAATATATGCTTATTTTGTAACTTTTTTTTTATGTTCCAAGGTAAACTCATACAATCCTAGAACATCTCATGGTGATCATCAATTTTTTGTTTATATTAAAGCGCAAGATGCAGAAACTGTTTACCTACCTGTGGTCCCTACAAAACTTGGTGATATTACCATTAATATTGAAGCTACCACATTAATAGCTAGTGATCGAGTGACTAGAAATTTACATGTTGATGTATGATCATTTTTAAAGTGTTTATATTTATCATATTTTTTATTAAAAAATATAATTTTATCTTTTTTGTAGTCTGATGGAGTACCTCAATACAGACATCAGTCAATGATCTTGGATCTCAGTAACAGAGCTTATGTTTTCCAATATTTGCATGTAAATGTAACTGAAACTCCAATTATACCATATAGTATAGATCGTTACTATGTTTATGGGTCAAATAAAGCTCATGTTTCATTAGTTGGAGACGTTGTTGGACCAATTTTCCCCACCATGCCTGTTAATGCAACATCTTTGCTTAATTTACCCATGGTAATATTAACTATATTATTAGTATTCGGTACTAATTCAATTGATTGTTTAATTTTTTATTATCAGGATGCTGCTGAACAAACAATGTTTAGTTTTGCAGCTAATTTGTATACTACAATTTATATGAGATATGCAAATCAACGAGATCGAACACTGGAAAAGCAATCATTCTACCATTTAAACATTGGATATCAGCGTATGCTATCATTCATGAACAAAGATGGATCATTTAGTCTTTTCAGAAGTGATTGGTATGCTTCTTCTTTTGTAGTTATTTTTTTCTCCTAATATTAAAGTTATAATTTTAGGAATATGTCATATCCAAGTGTATGGTTGACTTCATATTGTGCTAGAGTATTCCAAGAAGCAAACTTTTATGAGTGGGAAAATTTCATATTTATTGATCCACAAGTAATTAATTAATATTTCTTAGTAGAATAATATTTTGAATATTAATTATGTATCAAAATTAAATCATTAATTAATTAGGTTATTTCAAAAGCTTTAATGTGGGTACTGAAACATCAAACTGAAGAAGGTTCATTTTATGATGTCACATGGTTTCCTGATCGTAAAGTTAACAGTTCCATACACAGATCAATTTTATTTGGAGCTAATAGACCACAAAGATTTTCTAATATATCATTAACTGCTCAAGTTCTCATAACATTAACAAACGCAAAAGATATATCAGGGGTTAGTTAATATTTATTTTATATTAATTTAAATTTAATTTGTATGTATTATTTTATTTTATGATAGGGTCTGGGTTCCAAATTGGCTCAAGGTGAAAGTAGAGCTGTAAAATATTTAGAAAAAAACATGAATTTATTAAATATGACTGGTGAACCGTATGAAATTGCACTTGTTACTTATGCATTAATGTTGACCAAGTCTTCATTTGCCGAGTTTGCATTCACCTTATTAGCTAGACATGCTAGAAGAGAAGGTATGTTTTGTATTTTTATTTATACATATTGTATTGTACAGTATTTCATTTATTTAAGTTGTAAATGGCCACGTTCGTTTATACAAATTAGTTAATAATAACAATTATTAATAAATAAATAAATACAATACAATACAATACACAATATACAATTTATTTAAAATTCTTAAAGTTATAAATTAACAAGTATGAGTTATTAGCTTTCATTTAGTATTTGATTTACTGGTGAATTTAAAAGTATACTAAAACAATAAATAATGACAAATTATATTTCTCAATAAATTTTAATCTATAATCCATAGAAAAAAATATAAAAAATTCTAAAAGACTACATTAAAAACTATTATTTACAATAATTATTATTAAAATAACATATTTGAATAAAACTAATTATTACAATAACTAAGCATTAAAAGAAAATGAATAGAATACTTTTTTTAAATGGTGACAAATGAAAGAATTTTTTTCCTTCTTTGTCCCACTCCAAGCGTATTTACAAATTCTTCCCACTTTCATACTTACACTAGGGCTAGGATTTATATGTAATGATAAACTAAAAATATGTACATGTATATGTAATCAAAATGGCCAAAAATAAAAAAATTTAATAAAGAAAATTTAAAAATATGTTAACATGTTAAATTAAAATACAATTCTACATCATTTTTGGTTTATACAATTCATTGTTTTTAATTTCTCATCAATCTAATTTGAAAAATATAGTAATATGTTTTTAAAAATAAAACATAAATAATAAACTAATAAAAAAATTCAAAAAGTAGTGTTAAATTAAAATATAATTCATGTTGAAAAGAATGACGATTTGGTCTTAACACTGACTTTAACTTACTGAAAGAGCGTTCTAAATCACAAAATGATATTAGTGCATATTTCATGGCTGTTATTTCCATAGGCGAAAGATTAAGCTCCATCATGTCATCCAAAATACCACAAAGAATATTTTCTATACATTTAATAGTTTTCAGTCTCGAAATTTTGTTTAAAATGACACTCATTTTATTTTTTATAATTCAGCTGTTGTACCCTCTGATTCATTAATTTTTAAAATTGATAAATCAATAATTTTTAGGTTTTCACTCAACAGAATTTTGATATTTTCTAACTTTGATATTGATTCATCCAAAAAATTAAAATTAGACACAATATATGATAGATCAGATTTTAAATTGGATCTCTCAAAAATGTCTTTTCTTGAAAATTGATGCTGTATGTTCAGAATCCAACATAAATTCTATATTTTTAATTTCATTAAAATATTTGGAATAATAGTTTACCACTTGTAACCATGTCCACCACCTTGTTATTATTGGCTTTGTAGGAAGCGGGATGTTTGGGTAGCTTAGATAAATTATCATATGTCATTTTCATTATTTGTCAAAAATTTTTATCAATAAAAATTAAATGATTGATTCATCACTATTTATTTTGAAATAAAAATGTTTTGCCATTATTTGTGTGAGAGCGTACAATAAGTAACATACTGAGTACATATTTTTACAAAGTATTGTTAATTACTTTAGAAGATCAGATCAACTAATAAATATAAAGTGTGAACTAATGAAAAGAGATTAAAACCATATTTATTAAAGATAATCATAAACCTGTGCAAAAATCTTAGTCAGTCATATCTATCTGTAGTTGTATACTACTTGATAAATTGTATCCTATAGCAGTTTCAACAGCCGGTAGAAAGTGTTTGTCAGTAAACCGCTTATTATATGACAATCAAAATTGCTATATAAATTTTAAACGAGTTGATGATGTTATTACACATCAATTTTCATTTCATAATTATACAGTGGGGGATGTTCCTTACATAATTAGTTACTTCTATGATAAAATAAAATGTATTACTAAATATTTTTGTAGGTGGATTGATGTATTGGGGTAAAGAATTTGTACCTTTACCGCCAACAAAAATGGAGAATCAGAAACCATTTTTATTACCACGTCTGCCATATAAATATGATTCTATTAACATAGAAACAACAGCATATGCTTTACTTGTTTATGTTGCTAGAAAAGAACCTTATATTGATGATATTGTTAAGTGGTTGAATTCTCAAAGACTTACTGATGGTGGTTGGGCCTCCACACAAGATACAGCTATTGCCATGAAAGCTCTAATTGAATACACAAACAGAAACAGGCTTAGAGATGTATTTACATTGACTGTTACGGTTGAAGCTACAGCTCTTTCAGGAAAAACAAAAATATTGAAAGTTAACAGTGCAAATATTGCACAGTTACAAAAAATAGAGGTAAAAATTAACTTCAATGTTTTACTGTGTTCCTAAATGTAAATTTTCTACATCTATTTTAGATTCCACAAGCTTGGGGTACTGTCAAAGTGCAAGCTAAAGGTTCAGGTTATGCTATTTTACAAATGTCCGTTCAATATAATGTTGATGTAGCAAAATTCCAAACAACACCACCTGAACAAGCCTTTGGAATAGTAACTCGTGCAGATTTTCATGGTCGCAATCAATCTCATATTACTTATCGTAGTTGTCAAAAGTATAAATAATAAAGACATAATTGTTTGACTTAAGTTACTAAATGATTTATAATTTAGATGGACCTACATTGATGAGTCACCTAGATCAGGACTGGCTGTTTTGGATGTTGCTATTCCAACTGGGTATATAGTGCAACAACAAAATTTAGATGCTTATGTATTGCAAAGAATTGTTCCAAATTTACAAAGAGCTCGATTTTTCCCTGGAAAGCTATTGTTTTACTTTGATTATGTAATATTATACTTTTATATTTTATTTGTATGCAATAAAAAAAATTTATATTTTTCTTATGTATTAATAGTTGGATGAATCAGAAACTTGTGTCAAATTTACTGTTGAAAGATGGTATCCTGTAGCAAATATGTCACGTTATCTTCCTGTTCGTGTATATGATTATTATGCTCCTGGTAAGGTTTTATTTATTGTAAATCATTAAATTTTATTTCAATACATTTTACTGATTCAAATAAACATATATGTATATTTTTTTTTTTCTAGAACGATTCAACGAAACAATATTTGACGCTTTACCAACATATTTGTTGAATATTTGTGAAGTATGTGGTAGTAGTCAATGTCCTTATTGTCCCATTTTCAATAATGCTAATAAATTGTCTATTCCAATAAAATTTATCTCTATTTTTACTATTCTTGTAGTTCACATTTACTACAATTTAATTACATGATATAATTTTATTATTAGGTGCTTTAGTTTAGATTATAGTATTAATTGAACACACTTTAAAAACCTATTTTTAATAAACCAAGAAATATTTTTAAAAATTGAATTAGACATTCCAAGACTGGCTAAAATATTTTAACATCTGCTTACAATTTAAACTTATTAAAAAAATATATATTTATTAATCTATTTATACAAATTGCTATTTAGTATTTATAGGAATAAATCTAAAGCTACATAATGATAGTCCAAACGCACATACTATTATATTTTCTAAATGCTGTATTTTAATAATGCACCAAAGTATGTAGTACATGAAACTAATTAGAAAGGCATAACTCACTTATATTTATAAACTCTTTTTTTAAAAATATTTTGATGATACTAATATATAATCAGTAAAACGTTTATTAAATTTCTAAATTTAACAAATACCATAATGTGTAAGTTGTATTAATCGTTAAAAATTCCTCCTTTGAACAAATTCTAATATGTACTAAGTAATAATATAATCTATTATATTATTTAATATTATAATTTCAATTTTAAATAAAATAATTAAAATCTCTTGTGCGATCAAAAATTATTTTTTTCCCAACTTAACATTTAATTGAATCTCATAATTTGATCAGTATTTTTATTTGTTAAGTATATTTATTTTGTAGTTAAATATGATTCAGTTTAAAGGGTTCCATTTTATTCAAAAACTGGTTGGTTGCCATTTATTGAAATTGGAACGATTATTTCAGAAACCCGTCTAGCATTGTAACTCTATGGTTGTTTAATTTTTGGTCAAATAATGTGTTAAGTTAAGAAACCAGTTAATAAATGGCATTTGATGGCTTTCTGCAGCAAACTGGGAATTTTAAAATTTTGCACTTAACAGGTTTCTGAAATAATCTATTCAAATAAATTATAATAAAAATAAGATGCAATACATTTAACATTTTAATTATAAATTACAATTCATGAATAGCTTAAAAGCTTGTAAATGATTTAAAGATAAAAAAAAAAAGATCGAACACATTTCAAACAACACTGAAATATATTATTATAATGATGTTCTTTCTTTATCTTTAATTAAATAAATGTACCTAGATAATCTGTCATTAATTTATGAAATTTGTAATGAACTACAAAAATGTTATTACTTAAGTGTTAAATTTAAATTAATTTAAACTGATTTTATACTTCAAATTAATATTAAGTTGCAACTAATGCCGTCCATTGTTACATTTTTTTTATATATTTATATATATACATATATATTTGAATATTGACTTTTTTAAATGTATTTTAATATTTAATATTTTGATGTAAATAAAGAAATATATTATAAAGAAATTACTTTCTTTTTTTTTCTTTTTTTTTTTTGTTGAAGTAGTTGTAGTATGAATGTTTTTCAAATATCATTGCGTGACAAATCAATAATAAAAAGTGAAAATCATCCTAATGTACCATGACACTACACTTATTTTATTATATTTCAATCCATGGAATTCTTCATTTACAAATAGTTGTCAAATATCATGTATTTGTTACTAAGTTCTCTTTTTATCAGTATATTAAGTTTTCGGAGTTTTTCCGATGGTAATACAAACTCATCAAATGATCATTTACTTATTGAACATAGTGTCACTCTAGAGAGTGCTGAAAATGCAATTCAACAACTTGTACCAGATTTGAGTAAAATTGATAGTAAATCATATTATGTATGATTGTAATTTAAATTATTATCTTATTAGTGATAGGATTTGGTTGTAAAAATTGTACTACGAGAGAAATTGAATATTGTTTGTCCAATGACGTCATTGAAGATCATTGTTGTTGTCAAAGGAAATATCATGGTATGTTATTCATATGTTATACACTATATAAATATATTTTTATTTTTTGATATATATTAAGTTATACTAAAATATTTATGTTATAGAAGTATTCCCTTACATCGTACATACTTGTTATGTAAGATCTAGAAATTGTGAACCTACTGTTAGGGACTGTGGAGTATTTGATCGATTATTGACTTGTTGTTGTCATCATCATCTTGGAACAAAATGTAAGTAATATACTGAACATTTTAGCAATTTTATTAATTATTGTTTGATAATAAATTATACATTATACACTTAAATTATATACAAAAGTTTCATTACTATTTATTTATGTTAAAATTAATAATATTTGTTATTATAAATATATTTTATCTTTATATTAATAAAGGTAATTTATCTAAATGTGGCATATACATATTCGGAATAATGTATATTATATTATGTACCAATAAATATTAAAATATTAATTTAATTGTCTATCGTATATTTTAAAATCTTTATAAAAAAATTAAATAAGACAATCTGTACTACTGTTAAAAAATTAATAAGTTAATTAGGTGCTGATATTATAGTAATTAATTTTATTATAGATTATATAATAGGTCGATTAAATTTTTTCCAAAAATATTACGTTTTAAAATATTATTGTGTATATAAAATACAGCCAATACAGGTATATTATGTTTAAAGTTTCAAGTACCAATAAATAATTTTAACTTTTAAATTACAACAAATTATTTAAGACTATTATTCTTTACGTGAATATCTAATTTCTTCCAAAATTGAACTTAAAATGTCTTTGGAAAAAACTGTGTTTATAAATTTTTTAGATTTTTTGGTTACAGTATAAAGAAGTTTAAAAGAAAACTTCTAATAAATATTAAAATAATTCCATTTATATTTTTTAGTTAGGATAAATAATATCATTGATCATACATGGTATTATATTATACTATGTATAATTTATGATGTTAGGGAGCTTAGATAATAAATATTAAAATATTGAAAGTAATGTGTCACAGTTTGACAATATTATTTTGTAACACATGTTACAAATATATGTCTAGTATTTTTTTTCAAGTAATAAAAATGTAATTAAAATAATTTTGTATAAGTAATTACTAAAAATACAATGTGTTACTGTTTCAATTATTAAGAACTAAAAAATAAAATTTTAATTTCATTACTTTTATCTCCAGGTAATGATTAAATAAATTTTAACTCAATTAATTTTTAAAAGTAATTTATTTACATTTGTTATAAATTTATAATATAATTTTTTTTTTAGGGAAAATCAAAACGTCATCCTCCATTAATGGTCAAAGTCGAAAAAGCAAAAGCTTGTTTCTTTTTGGATTAACTATATTCCTTATTATGTACAATTATTAAATTTTTAATTACTTTTAAGCTTGTTAAGTAATTTTATGTTTATAGATAGCATGTTAAACTACAAAAAAAAAAAAAAAATGCACAGTTATTTTCTTAAATTATAGTTTTTAATTCCATAACATTAAAATGATAAATGACTCGTTTATTCATTCAAGTTTTGTTATACAACAAGTGCCAATTATAAGTTGTATACTTGTATATAGTCACTCTATACCAATTTATTGTTTTAACATACAAAATGCAAATGTGGACAATATTTAATATTTTACGCATTCAACATAAATATATGTAGTATCTACCTATTAAGTAGGTAGGTATAAATTAAGTAAGTAGTTATTATGAAAACAATTTATCCCCATTTGATTATGCCATATGAAAAAAATAAATTTAAAGTATATATACTTATTACAAATAAGTCCGAAGAAATGACAAACGATATTAAAAATAATCTTAAGTTACAACTAATTCGGGTTTTTTTTATTTAAATAATCAAGAACAATCTAAAAATTAATTCAAAGTGGGATATAATAATCTTGAAAATTAATGGCTAAATTTAGAAATGTTAATCATTTACTGAGTGTTGAATACCGACTAGAAGTTTAATATTGTTACCAAGTAGAGATCTAACATACTCCATACAGGCTACAACCCCCTTTCAGTTTATAACTTATTTTATCTTTTTCCTAAAATATAAATTTGATTTGGTAAATTAAATAGATTTTTTATACAGCTGGTACATATATTAATGGAGGATTAATTTTAAAATATGATATCCAGATAGAATTACTAATTTATTATTTTTGTGCATAACTTAATCATATAAAAGTTGTTAGTAAAAGAATACTAATTCACATAAAATGTTTAAAACTCCAAGTATAAATAATCGTTCTCAGGATTTTGTTAACAAGACTGGTGTACTTATTTTTCTCGTTGTTTAATTATTTTACTTAATTAAAACTATCTTCAATATAATTTAAATCGTACTAAAAGTATCTTAATAATTTAGCATTTGAGGATCAGAGGATACCATAAATTGTTTAAAATTATCAAAAAGTTTTTAATTGTGAATAAAACCATTTGCGCATTCACGGAAAATTATTTTCTTAGGGAATTTTCCTTCCCAATTTGTTTAAATAAATACTACATAGCATACATATGCACTCACGTTCGTGCATTTATTCTATTTCTAGTACAAATAAAAACACTAATATATAGCTATCAAATAAAAAATAGTTATATTGCCAAATACTTAAGACATTACAAAAAAATAATCAGTCTTAACATAAGTCTAGTGGATACTTAACATAATAAATAAAAGTAATAAGTTGATCACATTGTATTTAAGTATTTACAAATAATGAGACATTTTGTAAGCAATTAATCAACTTCTTCGATCGTAGGTCCTCCAGAGCGAGAACCAGGATCACCACTATGAGGCGCGTCACCACTTTTTCCTGCGCCGTGTATCTTCATCATTAGAGCCGAGCAGCTTTTTTGGATCTCCTTTAGTTTGTACTCATACTCTTCTTTGTCTGCCAACTGGTTGTTATCCAACCACTGAATGACAGCATCGCATTCCTGTTTTCCGGTGTTCCGCTCGGATTCAGTCAACTTGTCGCCGGACTCGTCCAAAGCTTGTTTAACACCAAACACGTAGCTCTCCAGCTGATTCTTAGCCGCTATCTTGACCTTCTGACGTTCATCCTCTTCTTTGTACCGTTCGGCCTCGCTAAGCATACGATCGATTTCAGCCTGAGACAGGCGACCCTTATCGTTCTTAATGACTATATTCTTGGAGCGTCCAGAGCTACTGTCCTTGGCTGACACGTTCAAAATGCCGTTGGCGTCCAAATCGAAAGTCACCTCGATTTTGGGTATACCTCTGGGTGCCGGAGGTATACCGGTTAAGTCGAAAGTTCCTAACAAATTGTTGTCCTTGGTCAAAGCTCTTTCTCCTTCGAACACTTGGATGGTGACGGCCGGTTGGTTGTCCGCGTATGTGGTGAACGTTTGGGTTTGTTTACACGGAACAGTAGAATTCCGGTCGACGATTTTGGACATCACGCCGCCCGCAGTCTCAATGCCCAGTGATAAGGGGGTAACGTCCACGAGCAACACGTCTTGAATTGCAGAACTCGTATCACCGCTGAGAATGGCCGCCTGTACCGCTGCACCGTAGGCTACCGCTTCGTCGGGGTTGATGGACAGATTGAGGGGTTTTCCGCAGAAATAGTTCTGCAGGAGACTCTGGATCTTCGGGATCCTTGTCGAACCACCCACGAGTACCACGTCATGTATGTCTCCCTTGTCCATTTTGGCGTCAGCTAACGCCTTCTCCACCGGAACCAGGGTCGATCTGAATAGATCCGCACACAGCTCCTCGAATCGTGCTCGGGACACTCGGGTGTAGAAATCGATACCTTCCATCAGAGCGTCGATCTCTATGACGGCCTCAGAGCTGGACGACAACGTTCTCTTGGCCCGTTCGGCAGCCGTTCTCAACCGTCTCAACGCTCTAGGATTCGCGTGCACGTTCTTTTTGAATTTGCGCTTGAACTCTTCGGCCAAATGAGACACCAGCCGGTTGTCAAAGTCTTCGCCACCCAAGTGCGTGTCACCTGCCGTTGACTTCACTTCGAATATCGAACCCTCGTCGATCTGCAGAACGGATACGTCGAACGTGCCACCGCCCAGATCAAATATCAAAACGTTTTTCTCTCCTTTCAAGTTCTTGTCCAGACCGTACGCCAAGGCCGCAGCTGTTGGTTCGTTAATAATTCGCATTACGTTAAGGCCGGCTATGACTCCCGCGTCCTTGGTCGCTTGTCTCTGTGAATCGTTGAAGTACGCCGGCACCGTGATGACAGCGTCCGTCACGTTTCGACCCAAATACGCTTCCGCGGTCTCTTTCATTTTCGCCAGCACCATCGAACTGATTTCTTCCGGCGCGAACATTTTTCGCTCACCTTTAAATTCTACTTGGATTTTAGGCTTCCCGCAGTCGTTCACAACTTTGAACGGCCAGTGTTTAATGTCCGCTTGCGTATTTTCGTCGTCAAAACGACGTCCGATCAAACGTTTAGCGTCGAACACCGTGTTGACGGGATTCATTGCTACTTGGTTCTTGGCACCGTCACCGATCAATCGTTCAGTGTCGGTGAATGCCACATAACTAGGGGTGGTCCTGTTGCCTTGATCGTTGGCGATAACCTCTACTTTACCGTGTTGCCATATACCCACGCAAGAATAGGTGGTACCCAAGTCGATACCGATCGCTGTTCTTCCAGTCATTACGTCAATAGCTGTTGATTTTTTTCACACAGTAAATCAATACGAAACGAAAATCAAAAATTAAAAACGTATAGGACACTGTAAGTGTACACCAAAGTATGTACGTACAGCACTAAGGCAAATCAATTAAAAGATAATTAAAAATTACTTGAGTTAAAACGCGTACTAAAAAAATAGTTAACACGTACAGACTTCGAAAAGCACAAGAGTCGCAAAGAATCGTATATTTCGCTCAATGAATCGCACTAGTATCGCTTCGAAATGGAACTAATGACGAGTAGCGCGCCGTTAGCGTTTATATATCCGACCAAACGTTCGAGAATGTTCAAGACGTTTCGCGAGTGCCGCTATAAGTGTCGCGCCGTCCCCTTAGTATACCGCTACCAATGATGCACGTGGTTTAAAATAGTTTCTACTAGGTATAATATTATAGTATTTTATATATATATATATATGTATGTATATAAATATAATATGACGATGGTGTTATAGAAAATTCGCGAATTTTCTCAATCTTTCTCGTTTTCCACTGTGTTTATTATAAAACGTTTTTGTATTTGTTTTTTTAATAATTTATTTATTTATTTATAAAAGGAATTAACGCCCATTCCACTTTTTATTAACAAAATATTTAAAATTAAAATTAATTTAATAAACATAAGTAATGAATACATTTTAAATTATAACAAGAAAAGATACCAGTGGCCTCTGTATAAGAATAATAATTTCATATTTTCATCAAAGTTTGAACTTTAAATGTCTATGGAAAAAAATATTTTATATATTTTTTGATATCTTAAGAACTACTTATTATAAACCTTACGTTAAATTGTTCTAGTTTAACTATAAATATTGGACATTTTATAAGTTTAGACTTAACCAAAATTTAAACTTTAAATGTTTACACGAAAAAAAATAAAAATTGTGTAAAATCAATACGTTCATATAGTTCTATGCGTAGAATCTATTTTTTTTTTTAATTTAACTAAATTTATTTTTACTGGAAAAATTGACAAAGCGATCTGTACAGTGTACTGTTACCATATTATTAAATGTATGATTCGTAGTACAGTTTTGAAACTATCAAGTTTTTTTTTTATAATTATTTAAAGGCATAATATACAATTTATCTCCTAAAGATTAAAGAACAATAAGAATATGTGATAGATAACAGAATTACATTTTTTCACGAGTTGCAAATTACAATAGTCAATAGAAACATTGAAAGGAGCCAAGAGTTACCAATTACCCAGTGGTATAAGTGGTAACACTACTCAAATTTGTTATTTTCATTTTTTTGTTTTGTTAATTTAAATTACTAACCATTAATCATTGAGTAGGTTACGACACTAGATTTTCTGAGCATTCTTGGGTGTTTTCCAGGAATTGTGAGAATAGAAAAGCTATAATATATAAGGTGGTTAATACTTAATATGAGACAGGAGTCTGATAGTCTGAGGTAGAATATTTTGTAAAATCCTTCTTGTTAACTACTTATTCATTGATAATTTTGATTTTTATAACGGTATACGATATTAGAGAAATAAGATCGGAAATTGGTAATCTTACGAAAGTAATTATTTTAGAAGGTTTGAATTTTGTCAGTGTAATTCCACATTGGCTTAAATAGAGATTTAAATGTATATTAGAAGTTTTGTATTTAATTTAATATTCTTGTTTTTGATCATGAGAGTTCTAAGCAAGCGGAGGCATGAATTTAAGGCAAGGCTTTTGGTTTTAATGTGTTGTGATAAAATGAATCAATGGTCAATAATTAGACTTAGGTACTTAGTCAATTGAGATGTATCAATTTGAATATTATCTAGGAACACCATGGGACAGAGTGAATTTAATGTGTAGTGATTTGGATTGATTGACTTTGAAACACCAACTTTTTATACCAAACAGCCATTAGATCGAGGTGGTTTTGGAGATTAAGGAAGGCAGTATAAGAATTTTTATGAATAGAAATAACAACCTTTTCGTTTGCAAACTCAGCAACTATTGTGTTTGAAGAGGTGGGAAAACTTTAAATAATTTCAATAAAGTCAATCCTTGTTTTCACTCTTATGCAACTGAATTCAAATAAATTATATACTACATTAGTACTTACTACGTTACCACAAAATATCTTTCTAGAAGAGCAACCAGCAATTAACAGAAAGATATTTTTTTGTTATTTGTATTTATTTATACAAATAATGGTAAAAATAAAATTTTATGCCAATATTGGTTCAGTAGTCTATAAGCCCCATACAAATACATAACTCATAATGCTAAATAATTCGATGTCAAAAACTATAAATTAGTTTAATAACTTAGTGGTTAGAAAATAACATTTTTAAATAATAGTTATATTTTTGAATGACAACATACATTTTTTATTTCATAACAAAATATAAATATTATAGTATATAAAAATCAAAAATTAAATGACAAAATGAGTAGTTTATTAGATTTGAAAACTTATTTAATAGTAAACACAGGTATTATGCTAAGTACTCTTGGCTATAAATTTAAAATATGATTTGTGAGAATAAATTAAAACTGGTTGTCATTAAAAAGGCAAAAAAAAATTAAAATGATAAAATCAACTTTTTTTGTCAAAATTGTTATTTTTGATAGACTTATTTGTTAAGATTATATAAAAAAATAATATTTTCACTAACAATTAAATTAAAATTTTGACTATTATTATCTATAGAAATGATTTCAATTTTAAACTATTATAGCATTTGATTTTCATTAGTTATAAAGCATATATACATACATTATTTTTTATTACTTAAACTAAGGTTTTTATAATAAGAAGTAAATTTTAAAACCAGATATTACTATCACTATCACTATTGTTTATTTTTTATACACACATATTAGGTACACTGCAATATAAGATATACTTCTTACTTTTATGATTTAATAAACAATTAAACTTTAAATTTTATTTAAATTTTTGACAATTAAACTTTATAATGAGCAATTAATAATAATTAAATTAATACTATGAATAAGAAATTTTTTATTATTTCATATGCATTTGTTTATTAATTATTATTAAATTTTTTATTTATATTTAAACTTTATAAAATCTTACAAAATGTTATTTTATTTAATAACTAAAAATGCTTTTGTACATGCCAAAATTTATTAAACTTTGAACACTAAATTAGTAGTTAGTTTTTATATTTAAAAACTGTCGGTATATTACAATATCTTATAATTTCATTAAAGACATTTTTACTATGTTATTCATAACAAACATAAAATATTACAAAATAAAATTGGACATTTTTTGAAAAAAATGCAATATTTATCTAGCACATTCTACATATTATATTTTTTATTGTATTCAAACATTTCTAAAGAGTCTAATCAATAATAATTTTACCCTAATTCTCAGATACACTGTAGAAAATAATTTAAAACATTAAATTTTTTTATTTTTAACAATTAACTTTTATCACATAAAAATAATATAATAATTTGTGACATAGAAGTATAAATCTTTTCTTTGTGTATATCAATAATTTATGTATTACATTAGTTAAAAAAAAGTCAAAAAGGTTATTATTTTTAATTAAATTTAAAATTATCAGTCTTGTTAAATCATACAAATAAATGACCCAAACTCTATGGAATGTAGACTGAAAAAAATCATATATTTCATTTTGATTTGATTCTTCTATCATACTTCAAATAAATTTAAAACATTTTTGTTTGTCGTGTGGTATTCGAGTTTTAAAAAGAATAGAATCAACTCGAAACTGTGTATTTAGAAGAGGTGTATATCCAAATATCTAAAACATAAAAAATTTAATATTAAAAAAAAATGTTTTGAAAAAATTACTGGTATCATAACATTTTAAATTTGATGATAAAAAAAACAAACCTCTGTAAAAAAATTGATACATTTATGGCGTTCTAAAAAATGTGTTTCATCTTCAGAAAGTGAAACAGGACATCCTGGACAGCGAAAAGTCCACCTAGATGTTACCTGTAATTTAAATAATATGCATATAATTGCGGTGTTAAAATACTTAATTAATCTCATTACTACCTTTACAGGAGGTTTGTTGGTTACATGAGACACTAAAAAATTCATTGCAATATCTTCACAATTCATGTATTGGTCCACTTTGTCTCGAATAGCTTGAGGTAGCCAGTATGAATATAAATATAAATAATATTTATGCACAAACGCTGCACCTGTTAAAACCATAGACAATTCGCAGCTGTAATTTGAGTTATATAGCCAACCACCATGATTAAGGTCCAATGCATGAAAACGTCCAGGAAAACCAACAACTCTATCACGCTGTTCTCTCCAAACCCTTAATAATATATAAACATTGGCATTAAATAATGATTAAAAATAGAATAATGAAAATACAATTTACCTGAAACCAAACATAATTTCATCATGTCTTAAATGAGCATCATCATCAACTGACAAAACTGCTTCAGTTTCAATTGCTTCATAAGGCAAAAATCTATTATTTAAACTATTTTTAGTAGCCTGAATAACCTAAATTAATAAAATTTAAAGTAAATAAATCACTAGTATACAAACAAAATTGTTCATTTAATACTAACATGTATAGGTACACCGATTTCAGGCCATCGTAAGTCTTCAAGAGGTGGTTTAGGAGAATTCCACACAACAAGTACTTTATTTAAATAAGGCAGACCATGTAAACGGCTAAGAGAATTCATAAGTACCTTACAAAACAATAAAATAAATAAATAAACATATATCATAAAATTAAAGAATATAAATAACAAAATAATACTTGATCACGTTCATAAGTAAGTATAACTATGGTAAACTGTTCTCTTGGCGAATTTCCACCAAGACTTTGACAGAATTCTTTTCCTGCTCCACCTGCACCATTGTTAATTGGTCGAAAACCTTTACCAGACCCTAAATATAAGATAAGACATTAAATAATATATACAATTTTAATAAAAATTACTGAAAAATATGTTTCACTGACCAACGAATTTAGCATCCGATGGAAGCAATGGGTCAAATGGTGTATGGGGGTAAAGTTTAAACGGATCTCCCCAACTGTTCCATAGTTCATAACCTTGAATATTCATAACTGTATAATTTCTTTTAAAAACTGGAGAGCTAAAAGGTTGCTCTAAGGGACCTAAACTTTCTTCGGGTTCAGCATCCGGGATTATTGGATCCATTTTAATTGGCTATATTAAAAATTATTTTTGTACATACATA